TTTTCTGGTTAGGTCAAATGGAACATTGAAACATTAGCCCTCCAGCAGAATCATAACTGCATTACATCTAAGGTGTCTATCACGGTAGTATCCAGGTTGGTTAGTCATGCAGTAAGCCTCAAAGCAGCTGATGTTTTGCAAGTGTTTTCAAGCTATGCAAAGAAAGAGTTTAATTTTGGTGCTGTAGTGCATTCTTTGTTTATGGAGTCAGTTTTTGTTTTCCTCTTGAAAGACTCCCTTATCCAGGTAATAACTGTAATCTGTGTTTGGGTAGACATTATGTTCTAACACTTCAAACTGTTGTTTTCAGGATTTCAGAAACAATCATACACTGAAGCTGAAGCACTTCACTTCCAATGATGCACATAAGAGCCCTCAGGTTTCCCTGCTTGCGGTATAACAGGTATCTTCTGTTCATCTCTCTTGATGCTATCCATTATCAAACCTCATAGAATCTTCTCCTCCTCACCTATAAATAATCTATACTTTCCCCTGCTTCTTAGATTGTTTATAAATGGAGACCAGTAATGTAGGTAGAGGCAAATATACTTACCTACCTATAGCCATTTTTTGTAACGGGGCATGCTCATTCGGCATTTGGTGAAACAAAAAAGAGGACAGTGATTGTGGTCTATTTAGGAGTAAATCCTTCAGTCATTGTTCAGTCTCATCAGATGAGCCTTGTGCTAGGAAATGTATAAAGGATGAAGGGGAAAATTTGCTACTGTCCTAACATACCAGCCGTTGTCCCCTAAGGAGCATGGACAAAGGACTACTGTCACACTGGGCATGTGATGGCTGCTTTGGTACTCATCCCAGGGCACTCTTTTTTTTTTGACCTTGGCTTTAATGGATCTAGGACAGTGGTTTTCAGGTTTTTTTAAGATTCAGGGCAAGCCTAGGAAAATGCCAGCTCTCAGTTTTCACTCACTTTTTTGTTTATGAAAAAAGAATACAGCAATTCTTCTGTTGCACAGAACTCAGGCCACAACAAGGCAGAATGTTTTTAACACTTTGGATTTGTATTTGAAATTGCTGGTTTTATCCTGTGAATCATATGCAGGTGTTTCCATGCCTGACGATACTAATATTGAGCAACATTCTTAAGTGCAACTTACAGCATCTCAGAGCGCTGTGGCACCCTGGTCTAGGATTTTATTTTGTGAATAGATCAGAATAAACCTAGAAGGCACGACTATGATCTTCTAGCCTGACCTGTGTCTATGGATGTCTATAACACTTTCATGTAAGGGGGAAAGAAAGAGGCCCAGAATGCCAGAAAATTCACTCCTTTGTCAGACAGGGATAAATCAGAGATTTTTTTAAAAAAAAATCTGAGTTAGAAAGTCTTTCAAGTATTTTGAGGATCATAAAAGCTTTAAGCCTTCTTTCATGGTTCATTAAGGAATTCCTACCTTGGGTTTTGTAAGTTTGATTCTTTATCAGTCTCTTTAAAACGCTGATCCTCCCCCTCTACGCGACGCTGGTCAGGCCACAGCTGGAGTATTGTGTCCAGTTCTGTGCGCCCCATTTCAAGAGGGATGTGGACAACATGGAGAGAGTCCAGAGGAGGGCCACCCGCATGATCCGGGGACAACAGGGCAGACCCTACAGTGAGAGACTGCGGGACCTGAACCTATTCAGCCTCCACAAGAGAAGGCTGAGGGGGGACCTGGTGACCGTCTATAGACTCACTAGGGGGGACCAGAAGGGTTTGGGGGAGACGCTGTTTCCCCTAGCGCCCGCTGGCATAACAAGGAGTAATGGGCACAAGTTGATGGAGAGGAGGTATAGATTGGACATCCGCAAAAACTACTTCACAGTTAGGGCGGCTAGGAGCTGGAACCAACTTCCAAGGGAAGTGGTGCTGGCCCCTACCCTGGGGGTCTTTAAGAAGAGGCTGGATGCCTACCTGGCTGGACTCATTTGAGTCCCGTTTCTCTTTTTGGGGTTTCTTTGTTGTTCTCCCGCCCTGGCGGGGGGTCGGGCTAGAAGATCTACTAGGTCCCTTCCGACCCTTAATCTATGAATCTATGAAAAACCCCAAAGCATGGTGCAAAGAAAGAGTTAATCTTGAAAGATTTGGGTATTGCAGGGAGGTGCCAGGAACACTGTAGAAAGCAACACAGCTGTAAAAGTGTGGTTGTACCTCTTAATACAATTGTCCTCAAGGAAAGCTGTTATCTGCCTCTCTGGTTAATCTTCTCCCAGCACCTGTAGGAATATTTTACAACAAGACACCTGTTCTGCATAAAAAAGAGTAATGCAAAATTGATAACATTTCAGTGTACTACCACCCCCTGAATCCCTACTAAGGTCCAGGGGGAGAATGTTTCTTTTAAAGGATTCTGGAAGCTGTAAAACATTATGCCTTTAGAACTGCGTGAATGACTTTTTTTAACAGAAACTAGGGTTGTTTGAACAGAGTCTGTTATTAGTAATAAAATACATCATTTAGACAAGACATAATTAAATGAACAGAACCAATGAAACACTGAGTAAATATTGTCAAATACAAAATTGTGAATGTCCCCTAAAGTGTACTTATTCAGAGGTAGAGGACCCCTCATTTGAGTGCATATGCCTGTTCATTTTGTGATAATGGGATGTCCTTGATACATTTACATTTTTTTTTCATTTGCATACATTTGAAGTTATTGATTCTCCGTGGAAGAAAAACAAATGTCATTCTGCTATAGGCATGACACTCCTTTTCTCAAAACCAAAATTGTTCTGATGCATTATTACAATTTGTTCTTGTAATTGCTTTATTTCTAGACATGTAGCTAAAATGAAGGCTTTTCCTGGAATCAGACAGCAAAGCTCCCTTTGCTTCATGTCATCTCCTGATACGGTTGCTATTAATGATTTTGCAAGAGAATCATGTGAAACTTGTGGTTTCCATGCAGTTCTGCTTTGAGATTTTTTAGTTAGTTTATACCCAAGCTTAAAGAAAATGCATAGAGGATGAATACAAATATAAACAGATTGATGCCTTTAATACCCTTCCACAGGAAAGCAGTGAGTTTTGTGCAGATTCATTCCTCTCTGTTTAAGCTGATATCATCCACAGTCTCTATTCATTCTGCCAGTTTCATTTCAGTCCCTGAAAGAGGTTTGTCAGAAAAGTAAAAGAATCTTATGAGATCCATTTTTGATTGCATGTGATGCCTGTCAATAAGAATGCATAAATGCATGGAAAATAATATTGGTCAGTTAGATGTGCCAGCTGACATTTGGCACTTTCACTTACGATAAGAAAAGAAATGGATAAAAATGGGAAAGCACAGTGGTGACCATCTATGTCAGACTCTGTCTCTCTGAATTTAACCATCTCAAGAAAAGGTGAGCGAATGCATAATAGCATAGTCCTGTTATGACCTTTTGCTTCATGAGTGATAGATTATGAAAGAAGGTAAAGGTCATGACATAAGCCAGCCCTCAATTCTTCCATTAATCAATTCCCTCTATATTTAAAAGCACATTTCATGTAAGAATCCTTGGGTACTGAATGAGAGAAACTTGTTAACTAGCCAACTTAAATATTTAAGAAGAACACAGAGGTTTTTAGTTTTAGTGTAAAAAATGCACAAATAAAATCTTGTACCCAGAGAGATTGTGGAATATCTATCTTTGGAGATTTTTAAGACGTGGCTAGATAAAGCCTTGGCTGGGATAATCTAGTTGGGGCTGGTCCTGCTTTGAGAAGGGGTTGGACTAGATGACCTTCTGAGGGTTCCTTCCAAACCTAATTTTCTATGATTCATAACTACAGAACTTGGTGGAGAGATGATCTGTATGATGCAGCTTAGGTATGTTACTGATTGTCATTGACTATTTCACACACTTCCAGTGAACACTTGGGGCTACTTTGCACTTCCTTTTCAGGCAGAATTCCAGTGGATGTCAAAGCCAGAATTTTATGGTATAAAGAACAAGCAAGTCAGAAATGGGCCCTTGAGAATCTTGTTAACAGAACTTAGCAAAGCCATATAAAATGTGGCAGGAAACGTGTTTTTAAAAGCAACCCCCTATTTTAAGTTAAGTAAGCTCTATTTCTCAGAAGACTACATGATCAGGAAACCAAGAGAAGAAATGTATGCATTTAATTTGGTATCAATTGCAAATTCTAAGAGGTCAAAGCTGGAAATTAAGATGAAGTAAATTAAATGTGACAGGTTTTGCATTAAACTTCTAAAGTAAAAGGCTCAAGCTTTCAGAAGTGACAGGTGATTTTGGGCATATCAGTTTCTGGATGCTCAGCTTACAACATCTGAAAAGATCCTTATTTTAAGTATTGCCAAGTTCCTGCCTTCTGACAATATTAGGTCTGGAGGTGGTAGGGGGACACGGAAAAGTTGTCCTTCCAAAAGTACTGTGTTGAATGCAAGACATTTAACAGCAATCAGTTACCCAGTGCAAGTATACACATATGTATACACATATGTAAAAAAACAGGTATATGCAGAAGTATATACCAGTATAAGTCTAGACACCTGTATTACATTCTTCCTTCCAATCTGCATTTTTTCTTATGAATGAAAGCAATGTATGGAATTGTAACTGTATCACCTTATCATAGTCTCTGAAAATGTAGGAATACATGTGAGATTGCTGCATTTCAGCCTTTTAAATGTTTAAGGAATTCTTTTTTTATACACACACACACACACACACACACACACACACACACACACACACACAACTTTGAATGATAGGATCGATGGCAGGAATCCAGTTGTCACAGCACTGTTGTTCAACTTGTCTATGTGTCCTAGTAATCTGCAAACCTCATCATACCTCACATATACTGTGATGGCCAGAATCAAAGGGGTTAATGAGCAACTTATAGCAAAAAAAGATCTGCTTCTTGAAAGTATCTGGTAATGGCATATAGTTAATATTGGCTAAGGCAAAGCTTGCAAAATTGTTTTCCACAGACGTATCCTGTCAGAAGCATAACCGTAATGTTAAAATTAACTGTCTGTACCAATCATAAGACTAACATGGGCCCCAAGAAGCGGAACTAGAAAACAAAACTGCAAACTTTAGCTGATCTAACAATTTTTGCTTAAAGGTCA